GAGAAGTTCATAACAGGGAAACTGGAGAGGGTAGATAAAAGTTCTCAAGGGCATACAGTACTTTCTGTAGCATCTAGATGATTTTTCTGAAAATCTAAAACTTTTCTAAAATTAAAGGCTATTTTAAAAATATGGTATATTCCCCATAAAAAAATCAAGAAAAAACAAACAGAAAAAACCACAAGTATATAAATAGGCCAGGTGCTGTGGCTCACGCCTGTAATCCCAGCACTTTGGGAGGCCGAAGCAGGCAGATCACTTGAGGTCATGAGTTCGAGACCAGCCTGGCCAACAGAGTGAAACACCATCTCTTCTAAAAACACAAAAATTAGCCGGGTATGGTGGTGTGTGCCTATAGTCCCAGCTACTTGGGAGGCTGAGGCAGGAGAATCACTTGAACCTGGGAGATGGAGGTTGGAGTAAGCCAAGATCATGCCACTGCACTCCAGCCTGGGGGACAGAGCAAGACTGCATCTCAAAAAAAAAAAAAAAAAAAAGTGTATGTGTGATAGATTTGTTAATTACCTTGATTTAATTATTCCACAATGCAAACACATAGCAAAACATCACACTTTCACACTGTACCTCAGAATTATAATAATATATACAATCATTGTCTATCAAATAAAGTAAAAATTTATAAATAAATTAAAATACACAGTATGACACACAACAAATATTTATTGAATAGAAAAATAACAATGTATATGGCATCAAGGAAATTATACTCTGCACAAAAAGAGAGAATGTCACACCTGAAAATGTTAGCAATATAAGGCTGAGTGTCAAATAACTGGTAATAACAAGTAACCTTTATTAAATGCTTACCATGTGTTTACTAATACTTCACATATATTATCTCACTTAATGTTCACAATAGCCTCCATGAAGAAATGCTAGGATGACTGCAATTATAATTATTTCTGTTTTAGGTAAGGAAACCAAGGCTCAGAAAGGTTAAGTAATTTGCCAAGTCATATGGATGACAGATGGCAGAACCAGGATTTGAACTCAGCCCCTCTGATGATAAAGATAGTGTATAATAGCTTAAAGGAGTTACAGAGACAAAAGCTGTCTTCTCTGGAGAGCCAGCAGTTTTTGTGGTAGCATGGGGATTTGAGCTAAGCTCTGAAGGCTAGAAGGACTCAGATGAGTGGAAAGATGGAAGGAAAACATTTACAGTGGGGAGAAGTCTGTGAGCAACAGCCAGAAGGCTGGTGTGGCCAAGGCCTCCAGAGAGCAGAGGCAGGCCTTACCCTCGGCCTCCTGTGTAGCAATTCTCCCAGCCCTGCTGGGTCTTCTCAAAGCCAGAGCTGGGAGCCTCTGCCACAGCTCCATCCAGCTGTTTTGGGAGCCACACTTGGGCCTTTCTATTGCACCAACATGGAAGGACAGGCATCCCCTCCAGAGACCCACAAATACTTCCAAAAAACCAACATTAAAAAAAAAAAACAAAAAAAAAAATTGAGGTTTATGAGTTGCCAAAAAAAAAAAAAAAAAAAAAAAAAACCTAGCCACTGAAATTCCTTAAAGGGCTACACCATGGAGAGTGGCACAAGGACATACAGCCCTGGGGGGCTTTGTGAGTAGTACACCTGCTCAGCAGAGACCCACACTTCCAGCCTGGGTTGACGAGAGTGGGCACTGCCCTTCCCTCCCTCACGTAATGACTCCTTCTCTGCTACATTAAAGCCACCAAGTCTCCACTCTGACTCCTGCTGCACCTCTCAGACTCTAATCCTGGATTCTGTCTCTTTACACAACAGTTTCCTATATGCATCCCAAAGACCACTCCGCTGCAATTTAGAGTCAAACTGGATTCATTAGAGCAGCCCAAGGATCTTTCCCTGGAGAAAGTCTTTGCTTAATTTATGTGGCTCTATGAAGTTCATTTTCCTATCAAGTCACATGGGCTTCTCTTCCCATCTCATCTAAAGTGGTGTCATTCAACTGCACATGGATTAATTTTCTTCAGTCCTGGGCCTAAGCAAAGGCAGAGAGGCTTGTGTTCAGTTCTTCCTTCTGTTCACCGACAAGTTGAGGAGGTCCTTCCTCCTGTGCAGCCTTCAGCAGCCCCAAGTCTGCCCCAAGGCCCACAGGTACCTTCTCAGTAGCAGCGCCACAGGCCAGGCCTTCTCAGAGCACCAAGGTCTCCACACTGCTTGGTGTAGGCTGTGTTCCCAGTGGAGGAGGAACTGCTCTGGGTGAATTCTTCCCTAGATTACAGGTTTCTGTACTCAATGCCCTGTAATTATAATAGCCTTTATACCCAGTGTACTGTTTGGACAGGGAGCCCATTTAGGAAGGGCCATTGTCAGAGCTGGGGGTCGCTGGGCACTGCCATCTGAGTTTCAGCTAATTGCCAGGCAGGGCCCTGGGTGCTGGAGAGGACATAAAGGATTGCATAAATAAAATGCAATTCTGTCCCTCCAGTTGAGAAAAATTACATAGTAACTGTAAATAGTCAAATAAGACTCAGAATTGTTTTTCCCTGACTAATAATATTGCAAAGAGATGCAGCAGGTGGTCTCTAAAATCATTTTTTATTGTCATTCTGTGATTTTCTGAATGATTTGCATTCATTCATTTCACAAACACAGATTAAATACCTACCAAGTTGTATCTTAGGTGAGGCATTTAATCTGCATTAATTCACCCAGGACATTTTTACCTGATTGGAGCTAGAGATACAGGCCATGGCCATGAAACAGAGCAAAGCTAATGTGCCCACAAAGAAAAAGAGCCACGCTTCAGCTTCTGTTAATGCCCACTTCCAACCAGCTGAGCTAACCAGTCAGAACAGGAGATTCTAGCAAGTCCTTGGGTATATACACTATCTGAAGAGTCCTCACGGGCCCCCAAGTATTGGAGAAAGGAAACCAAGCAACCATTTCCAGTTTGGTTCCTAAATGGAGACAAAGCAGAAATAGAACCTAGGAACTTTGGGCTTCCAAGCAAATGTGGTATTTATGAGGCTCTGCACCTCCCACTGCCCCAGAGGCTGCCAAACCCCATCAGAGTGAAGTAGCAAAGTACACACCATGCATTGTGCGGCCCCTGGCAAAGGACCACGGATGTGCAGGATACACTGTTTTAATGCATGTCCCCTTTTAATTACACAGTCGGTCAAGAGCTCTCAGCTCCCACGTACCCAGGTCCTTATAATACTAGACTGTTCTACAGCCATTCCCAGTAGCAAACACAACTGCTAGCCTCAGCTCCTGGAGAGAACAAGGGTTCCAGCCGATATGATCAGCTCGGCAACATTTCCTTGTTGCCTTGCTTTTTTCCAGATCATGGCCTGTTGCCATGAGTCAAGGAGATGGATCCTCTGCCATCATTTTCTGGAAAAGGCTCCCATTAAACTTCCTTCTGCCCTGGAACAGAAGAGTAGTTTGCAGGAAGAACTTCAGATCTGGTTTCTGATACGATTAAAATCAAAACACAGTACCGGAAAGGGAAAACCAAGTGAATTCTGGCAAGGATGTTCAGTTCTGCCTGGGAGTTTTTAGCTCTGATATTTCCATGGCTGCTCAGAGATATGCCCAAGGTCTAAATTGGGCGAGAGCATATAATATTGGGATATACTATGAAATACATATTTGGTCTCTGCCTGAGATTCTTAAAACCTTTGGAATTTCCTGAGTGATGATGAGAGGAGCATCTTTCGTTATTCATAATAAGCCCCTTTCAACTATACCTGATTTTATGCTAAAGGAGGATGGGGCCTGGTCCCCAGAGGAACCAACCAGGTGATTAGAGGACTGGAACTTTCACCGCCACCCTGGAATTCTGGGGAGGAGAGAAGGGCTGGGGATTGAGTTCAGTCACCAGTGGCCAATGACTTCATCAAGCATATTTACATGATAAACTCTCCATAAAAACCATCTTAAAATGACCAAAGAACCAACATAGATATTTCTCCAAGAAAGATTGTACAGTCACCAGGGAAAGGCAAATCAAATCCACAGTAAGATGCCACTTTATGTCCACTAGGATGGCCAGAATCAAAAAGTCAGAGAATACATCTAGATGTGGATATAGAGAAATCAGAAAACACTCTGATTTTATATTAACTGTGAAAAGTAGTCTGACAATTTCTCAAACAATTATACATAGAGTTACCAAATGATCAGCAATTCCACTCCTAGGCAAATACCCAAAAGAAGTGAAAACATGTCTGTACAAAAGCTTGTACCCAGATGTTTGTAGCAGTGTTCTTCATAATAACAAAAAGTGGAAAGAACTCAAATGTTCATCAGCTGACGAATGGATAAACAAAATGTGATATATCCATCAACAATTATTCAGCCATAAATAAGAAATGAAGTATCGATGAAACCTACAACATGGATAAACCTTAAAACGATTATTTGAAGTGAAGGAGACCAGTCACAGAAGACCACAAATTTCAACATATGAAATGTCAGAATAGGGTAATCCACAAAGACAGAAAGTAAATCACTGTTTGTATAGGTGTGGGGGGTAGGGGGGAGAATGGAAGGAGAGGAGTGATAACTAAAGGGCACAGGGTTTCTTTTTGAGGTAAATAAAATGCTTCAATGTTGACCGCAGTGATAGATGCATGACTCTGTGATTATACTGAAAACCATTGGATTGTACACTTTAAATGGGTGAATCGTACGGCATGTCAATTATATCTCAAAAAAGCTGTTAAGGAAACTTAACAGTGGCTTTCGTGTTATGTAATTTTCTCCAACTTAGATACAGAATTAATACCCACCATCACACGAGGATCCATGAAGTTTTAAATGTTAAGAGTTTCTTTCTATGAGCCATAAAAAAAATTGATGAATTGCTCTTTATCACATTTAAAACACCTGATCATCAAAATACCCTATTAAGAAAATGAAAATCCTAACTACAGACTGGGAGATGATATTTGCAATATATATATATATCTGACCAAAAAACTTATATCCAAAATATACAGAGAACTCATAATAGGGGAAAAATAACCCAATTACAAATCAGCAAAAGCACTCACTTCAGCAGCACATATACTAACATTGGAAGAATACAGAGAAGATTAGCATGGCCCCTGAGCAAGGATGATAGGCAAATTCATTAACCATTCCATATTTTTACTGGAAACATTCCCTTTGAAAACTGGCACAAGACAAGGATTCCCTCTCTCACCACTCCTATTCAACATCGTATTGGAAGCTCTGGCCAGGGCAACCAGGAAAGTGAAATTAAAAATGGGCATTCAACTAGGAAAAGATGAAGTCAAATTGTCTCTATTTGCAGATAACATGATTGTATATTTAGAAGACCCCACTGTCTCAGCTCAAACTCTCCTTAAGCTGAAAGCAACTTCAGCAAAGTCTCAAGATACAAAATAAATGTGCAGAAATCACAAGCATCCCTATACACCAATAGCAGAGAAACAGATTGCCAAATCATGAGTAAACTTACATTCACCATTGCTACAAAGAGAATAAAATACCTAGAAATACAACTTACAAGGGATGTGAAGGACCTCTTTAAGGAGATCTACAAACCACTGCTCAAGGAAATAAGAGTGGACACAAAGAGATGAAAAAACATTCCAGGCTCATGGTTAGGAATAATCAATATCTTGATAATGGCTATCCAGCCCAAAGTAATTTATAGATCTGATGCTATCCCCATCAAACTACCATTGACTCACAGAACTGGAAAAAAACACCTTAAACTTCATATGGAACCAAAGAAGAGCCCACATAGCCAAGACAATCCTAAGCAAAAAGAATAGAGTTGAAGGCATTATGCTACCTGACTTCAAACTATACTACAAGGTTACAGTAATCAAAACAGCATGGTACTGGTACCAAAACAGATATATAGATTAATGGAACAGAACAGAGGCTTCAGAAATAATGCCACACATCTACAATCATCTGACCTTTGAAAAACCTGACAAAAACAAGTAATGGGGAAAGAATTCCCTATTTAATAAATGATGCTGAGACAACTGGCTAGCCATAAGCAGAAAGTTGAAACTGTATCCCTTCCTTACACCTTATATAAAAATTAACTCAAGATGGATTAAAGACTTAAATGTAAGACCTAAAACCATAAAAACTCTAGAAGAAAACCTACACAATTCATTCAGGACATAGGCATGGGCAAAGATTTCATGACTAAAACACCAAAAGCAATGGCAACAAAAGCCAAAATAGATAAATGTGATCTAATTAAACTAAAGAGTTTCTGCACAGCAAAAGAAACTATCATCAGAATGAACAGGCAACCTAAAGAATGGGAGAAAATTTTTGCAATATATCCATCTGACAAAGGGCTAATATCCAGAATCTGCAAAGAACTTAACCAAATTTACAAGAAACAAACGAACACAACCCCATCAAAAACTGGGTGAAGGATATGAACAGACACTTCTCAAAAGGAGACATTTATTCACCCAACAAACATATGAAAAAAAGCTCATCACTGGTCATTAGAGAAATGCAAATCAAAACCACAATGAGATACCATCTCATGCCAGTTAAAATGACAATCATTAAAGAGTCAGGAGACAACAGGTGCTGGAGAGGATGTGGAGAAATAGGAACACTTTTACACCATTGGTAGGAGTGTGAATTAGTTCAGCTATTGTGGAAGACAGTGTGGCAAATTCCTCAAGGATCTAGAACTAGAAATACCATTTGACCCAGCAACCCCATTACTGGGTACGTACCCAAAGGAGTGGAAAGACACATGCACACATATATTTATTGTAGCACTGTACAATAGCAAAGACTTGGAACCAACCCAAATGCCCATCAATGATAGACTGGATAAAGAAAATATGGCACATATACACCATGGAATACTATGCAGCCATGAAAAAAGATGAGTTCATGTCCTTTGCAGGGACATGGATGAATCTGGAAACCATCATTCTCAGCAAACTAACACACGAACAGAAAACCAAACATTACATGTTCTCACTCATAAGCAGAAGTTGATACCTATGCAACAAACCTGCACATTCTGCACATGTACCCCAGAGCTTAAAGTATAATTTTAAAAAATGGAATACAATGAAAAAAAAAAACACTAACAAAAATTGGCAAAAGATGTTAATAGACCAGAAGTTGTACAAATGCCTAATAAGTTCATGGAAAGATGTCCAATATACCTAGTCATCTGAGAAATGAAAATTAAAAGTGTAGTAAGATGCCGCCATGTATCCACTAGTGTTAGTGAGGATGAAGAGTAAGCAGAACTCTCAGACACTGCTGGTAATAATGTACAACCACTCACCAGCAGTGGTACAACCACTTTGGAAAATCTCACAGTTTCTTATGAAGTCAAATATGATACAGCAATTTCATTCTTAGGCATTTACTCAAGATATAGGAAAATCATGTTCACGCAAAGATTTGTGTATGAAAGTTCAGTAGAAGCTTTATGTATATTAGAAGAAAAATAGAGGTCCATCAGGAGGTAAATGGATAAATACATTGTGGTATGTCCATACAATGGAAGAGTATTCAGCAGTAAAAAGAAATGAACTGCTGATTCATGTAGTAACATAAAAGAATCTCAAAAATATCATGCAAGGCAAAAGAAGCCAGACACAAAAGAGGACATGCTATGTAATCCTATCGAGCTCTAGAAAACAGGGTATGGCCTATTAAGTGGCAGAAATCAGGCCATTCTTGTCCTTGGCTGGGGTGGTGGTAAGACTGATTGAGAAGAGGAACAAGGGAGCTTTCTAGGGTGACAGAAATATTCTCCATCTTGCTTGGGGAGGTGGTTACATGACAGTATTATTTGTCAATATTTACTAAACTGTATATTTAAAATGAGCACATTTTATTGTATGTGAAGTATACCTCAATACAGTTGACATTAAAAGTGTTTTTCTTACTCATTTTGACTTTCTTTACCCTAGACCATAGAAGTCAAAAAACTCCGGACCACAGGACAAATCCAGCCTGCCACGTGGATGACTGCTATCCAGTCTTTCACCTCTACAATGTTATTATTTAAGGGAATCCAGGTTCAATGAGCTTCCAGATAAGTTTAAAGGCGGGGGAAAATAAGCTAAAAATGGTTTTGACATTTTTTAATGACAGGGGAAGAAAAGTCAAAAAAAGATTATTTCATGACACATAACATACATATGTGTGTCATTCAAATAATAAAGTTTTATTGGAGCACAGCCACAGCCACGCCTTTCAGACTATAGTGGCAGGAGACTATATGGCCTACACAGGCTGAAATACTTATTGTCTGGCCCTTTCCAGAAAAGGTCTCCTGACCCCTGCTCCAAACAATAATCTCTTCTCAATGACACCATCCCTTTGCAGGCTACAAGGAAGGAGTGCTCATGTTTGTATTTTGAAACAAAAAAGAGGCAACATTTAGTGAGAAAAGCAACCAGGGTACACCAGCAACCATTTTTGTTTTCTTGTCAATGGCTTGGCTATTGGAAATGATGGGCGTTCTTTGGAGTCCTGGCACTTTTGTGAGAAATCGCTCAGGCTTTGAGCGGCGTTCCACAGATAAAACATCCCCCTTGCCCCTTACCGTAAAGTCAGCTCGATGGGGCAGCCAGTTTCTGGCCTTTGTGGAGAAGAACAATAGATTATTATAAAGATCCTCTCCAGGCCCACTGTTCTGCGACATTTTCTTTTTCTCTTAGATCGCTGTTCTCGTGACTCAGAGACTCACTTCGGAAACAGACACAAGACGTCTTCACTTCAGTTGTCTATGTCAGCAGCCTAGCTTCAGAAAAGACTCAATTTTCCCCCACCAGTTCTCATCTTAACGGAAGGGGCTGGGAGCCAGAGCAGAGATTTTCCTTTCTTGTCTCTCTTCCCCATCCCAGCCTGCCCTCTGTGTCCCCAGGGCCCAAGCCTGTCCCCAGAGGCTCCAAGGGTCAGAAGCAAACCATGTCCTGTTGCTCTCCGATCCTTCACCTCCACAATGTTTTGATTTAAGGGAATCCAGGTTCAATGAGCTTCCAGATAAGTTCAAAGGGGGAAAAATAATCAAAACACGAAACTCAAGAGGTGTCTGTGAAAATATGAAAAGACAGACAATTAACTTTACCTCGTTGATATATTTGGGTGAATACAAGTTCATTAACTCATTGGAACCTGAGATCTCCTGCTGATGACTTCCTCAACTCAGCAGCCACCTCTCTGTGTCAGGGCCAAAGGAACTGATTCAGTTTTTCATTCCTTAGGAGCATGCCTGTAAACTAACCTAGATTTACAGTCAGAGAAATGCTGCCTGCTGATTGACAAAGCTAAAACCAGAAGCCACAGCTCTGAAATGTTGTCAAGCAAATGCCTCATCTTCTCCTGCTGGAAACATTTTCTCCCCCATGAACCCACATGAGGAACAATTCATTGAGGTGAGTGTGTCGTTTCCTTTGGCAAAGAAGGAGAAAGGACAAAAGGCTGGACATCTTTGTATTTATTCTAATGTGAAGGTGACTGACTGCTTTATTAACCTAATAAAATCTTTCTCCAGGTGAACACACTGAGATGGAAATGTGTTATTTGCACAGCGGACCTAGGGCATTGAAAGCATAGCGCTGTTCACATAAATTCCTTTTCAAAGAAACACAGGAGAGGAGCAGAATGAAACAAGCTCATACTGAGGGATGATACTGAATCATATGCTATTGGCTGGAACTGTGGCTTGGAACCCACAAACTGCAATAAAAACTGTACTTGTTATTTCTTTAGGGACACACCTTCCCCTTAGTACTTCATTTTCTATAGGAAAGAATGAGAATGGGACCTATCTGTGGTCCCTGGAAGACCTACCAGAGCAGACTCATCATCTGAAGGAGTCCCACATCCGTCCGGAAACTCAAAGTCACACTGACATTCATGAAAAATGCCAATGGAAGATTAGATGTTTGTAATTTATTGCCATCTTCTTGACTTTATCGTAACACATTGAAGTACAGGGGTGCCAGCAGGCCATGCTCATACTGACTTACAAATCTGCTCACTTGGGAGTCTGCTTCCCACATCCCCCAAACTTCTTTCTCCTTCCTTTTCTCCCCAAATCCAATTTCCACAGCTGCCCAGGGCATAAGTAAGACCATGCTGACTGCCGTTTCCCTATAAATGAATA